AATATCCGGAATTTATCATGACATATAAAAGTATCGCAAATTTTATTATTTTTACTTCAAATTTATAATATCAACAGTTTATTATATAAAAAACAACATATTTAAAGAATTAATAATTTATCGTATACCCATTTTTTTCTATAACTATACTAATCCGATCTGATATACTATCTGCTAAGTTAAAGAAAATGTTTTGATCGAGATTTTTCCATTCCCTCTGAATTATGCTTTGAAAAACATCCACGCTAAGTATTTTTTTTCTCTAATCCAATCATTAACCTTTTCCTCCACTTTTCCTTTAAGAATCGCCTACAAATTCTCGATTGGGTTTAAGTCAGGAGAGTTAGCAGGCCAATCAATCACCAGAACATTATTCGTCACAAAAAATTGACAGGTAAGCTTCGCGATATGGGTTGGTGCATTATCCTGTTAAAAACACCATCCATTACCAGCACAGTTAGCATTAGGAAGCAATTGAGATCGAAGAATATCCTGATATTTCTCAGCATTCATCTTTCCTATAAATAATATCATACCAATTGGTCCTTAATGACTGAAAACACCCTAAACATGAACTTTATACAGATGTTTTACCATAGGACATGATGAACGTGGATTACCAATTTTGTAACGTACAAGTTGGGTATTGCAGAACGTTTGAAAAGTACTTTTGTCAAAAAATATCGTATGAGACCAATCATCTTGATGATGGTTTATGGCCCATTAAAAACGAGTTTCAATATGATTCGGCTTAAGAAGGAGAACCGTTCATGATCGACAAACAACATAATTAAGTTTATTTTTAAGGGTACGTTAGACAGTTCGAGTTGATACGTTAAGTTCTGGATATGTGGAATTCAGCTTTTTTGTCATTAAAGCTGGAGTTGTTGCATTATTAACTTGGAGAAGACGACTAAGATATCAGCATTTTTTTGGGGTGAGAAGAAGAGGACGACCAGGACAAGGCAAATGTTCAACATTTCCTGTTTCTTTTAAACGGTTGACAATATCATATACTGTAGACTTTGGATACCCAGTTATTTTAATTATTTTGGCAGGCTTTCGTACATTATTAAACCATAGTTCCTTTACAGTTAGCCGTCTTGTCTCAAACACTGAAATGTGCGCCATTTATTATGAGTTGCGATTGATAAACAGTTACACAAAAAAAATTGGTGTTTATATTTACATCTAAAAATAGCTAATGAATTGCTATTTTAAATTTTATTTACATTAGACAGAAATTGGTGTGACAGTACTTTTTTTGTATATTTAATAAAAACTCCAGAAATTTATGTCGCGAACTGTAAATATATATTATTTATATTTTATTTTAATAAAGAATTTTAAGAATTTTGCTTTATAAAATTTGCATTAGTATCATAAATTATAAATTATAAATTATATAAATTGGCTAGCATTACTATTATAAAATTATAATATACTGATTTGACGTATAAAATTTATCAAAAATTACGTATACATTATATTGATTAGACGTATAAATTCCGTATTTTTTTGCATACAGAAAAATCCAATTTTCAGTATTTTGTATACGGAATTATTTACGAATTTATTATACTGTTTTTCTACATTTTTATACGTTTTTTAAACATATTATTTCTGTATACTTTCCTTATATTGATTATTTATAGGGAAATTTATTAAATAATTATAATTTGATTTACAATATAATCGAAAATACATCTAAAAATTTAGCTAAACTAATTAAACACGTTTACTTAACATTTTATTATATAATTTCAACGTAACTTGCAAAAAAAAAGTTTGTAAAGTTTTTTTTTCATTACAATTATTGAATATATTTTATTCTTTATTAGTTATATCATTTCTCAAATATAGTGTACTGCACAAATCAGATTAGATCAAATTTAGGCAAAATCTGATTCAATCTGAATTTAACAAATCCGATTCTGATTTAATCTGAATCTGACAAATCTGAATCTGAATTCGTATCTGAATCTGACAAATCTGAATTTGAATCCATATCTGAATCTGACAAATCTGAATCTGATGGATCAAAAAATTTTTTTAACAAAAATCTATCTCCAACATTTAGATCGGCATTTTAATTATTAAAAAATAATTTTTTAATAATAAATACTGCGTCTGACTTTCAGGATGGCATTTTGTTATTAAAAATTAATAAAAAATTAATTTTTTATTAATAAATGCTGTGTCCATCTTTTGGGACGATATTTTAATATAAAAAATTAATAAAATTAATTTTATTATTAATAAATGCTGCGTCTAACTTTTAGGGTGACATTTTTATATAAAAAATTAATAAAAATTAATTTTTTTAATAATAAATGCTATGTCTAACTTTTAGGGCGTCATTTAAATATTAAAAATTATTAAAAATGAAAATTTTAATAATAAATACCGCGTCTGACTTTTAGGGTAGCATTATTATTAAACATTAATTTTTTAATAATAAATGTTGCCTCTGATTTTTAGGATAGCATTTTGTTATAAAAATTAATTTTTTTATCAATAAATGCCCCATCTGACTTTCAGGACGGCATTTTGTTATAAAAATTAATAAAAAATTAATTTTTTATTAATAAATGCTGTCTCTGACTTTCAGGGCGACATTTTAATATTAAAAATTATTAAAAATGAATTTTTTAATAATAAATGCTGTATCTGACCTTTCGGAATAGCATTTTAATATAAAAAATTAATAAAAATTAATTTTTTTATTAATAAATACGCATCTGATTTTTAGGGCAGCACTTTATTATTAAACATTAATTTTTTTAATAATAAATGCTGTCTCTGACTTTCAGGACGGCATTTTGTTATTAAAAATTAATTTATATTAATTTTTTATTAATAAATGTCGCCTCTGACTTTCAGGATGGCATTTTGTTATTTCAAATCTAACAAATCAGATCTGAATTCAAATCCAAATCCGATGGATCAAATCTGAATCCAAATCCAAATCTGTCAAATTAAATCAAATCTAAATCCAAATCCAATCTGGATCTGATGGATTGAATCAAATCAAAATTTAGATTCAAATCTGATTCGAATCTGATAAATCCAATTCAATTCAATTCGCTAGATCCAGATCAGATTCAGATTGAATCAGATTTTTTGCGAAAAATTACTCAAATGTGAATTAAAGATAACTTGCTATTTAGAATAAAATTCTTCTTATTCTACAGCTTTACATAATTTTTTATTGCACAAATTTGATTTTTTAGAAAATCAATTTTATCAGATTTTTGTTCTGCATAAATAATTATTTTATTAAGTATACTAATACTTCATAATTACTAATATTAGGAATTTCTGGTTCTTCATTATTTGGTTCTTCTGATTTTTTCATTAATTCTATAATTTCCTCATCTGTTATCATCTGATAAGTTGTTTTTTCTTTTTCACATTGCAAATATTCTTTGGCAGGAATTAGATTTTCATATATATTAGAAGTTAATCAAATAATAAATTCTTGTATTTTATTGAATGTTTCAAAATCTGTAAAATTGACAAAATCATTAACATTAATTCATTCATTATTATCAGTATTTAGCGGAAGAATATCTGTTTTTCTCTAACAATTTATAATTATTTCTAATTGAACTAAATCCTATACTTTTGCTGTATATTTAATTGCCTTTTTATTGTAATTTCAGTTATAGGTTGACCTATTTCTTGATTATTATCAAATGCTTTAATATAATTTTGTAAAAATTAACTTCTGATAATATGCTTTAAAACTTCTAATAATTCCAGTATCATAAGGTTAGAGATGTGCAATTGTATTAGAAGGTATTCTCATATAAGATATGAATAGATGCACCATCATAAAGTAAAATTATATGACAATTCTGAAGTCTTAAATATGCATCAAAAAGTTTTAACCAATCATTCCAGATACTAACTTGCATATAAGCTATTTTATTCCAATAATAATATACAGGTAATAACGATTTTGAAATATATTTTAAGACATGCATATTTTGACTTTTTCTAATAAAAACTGCTTTAGTTTTTTTGGTTTCTGAAGCATTTTAACATAATATAACAGTAATACGTTCTTTAAATTGTTTTCGACCTGCAACTAATATAAGTATTTATTATTTTAAATTTATATAATTATTTATATTAATTTATATCATCGAATAACATTAATTTTTACGTAGTCCAGTAGATAAAATCTGATTTAGCTCTATTTTCCAATTAAGTCCAGTTTCATTCACATTAAATATATTATTAGATGAATAATCTTTAAGAATATTTTGAAGATTTTTACGCATATCATCTAAATCTTTTAAAGAAATACTTGCAGCCTCTCTATGTCTCAAGTAACATTCAATATTATGAAACCTGTTAACCATCCATTTAATCCTTTGAAGTCTTATATATCAAGTAAAGTTGCAAAATTTCTAATAATAATTCATCACTAATAGTAATATTATTATCTACAGCTTTTTCAATCCAAAAATTTAACGCTTCTTCAATTTGTGAAAAATTTTGTTTAATTTGTCTTTTAACTGAAGCTTCATAAGAAATCTTATAGCTAACTATTTTTCACTTTCTTTTAAAATATCACATATCATTTCTTCTGAAACATTAAATTCTAAGGAATAGTCTTTATTTTTAGGCTTTAGTTTCTGCAATTTTTTTAAACAAATTTTCTGTTTTTGGATACTTATAAATGAAGCTCTAGTTCATTTTATTTCTTTGGATATTTTAATAAATTATTGATCATAAAAATTAAGTTCTTTTTAAATAATTAAATTATTAATTTATACTTTATTAAAATTTTACTGATTGTAACATTTTCTTTAATAGTAATATAAGAAAAAAATTCGCTATATCTCTTAAATTTATTATAAAATTCGTTATATAAAAAAACTTCATTAACAAAAGTCTTATTTATTATACTTAGTCAGGATCTTTAATTTGTTATATATAATAGTAAATTTTATTATAAAAATTTATTATATTCAATAATTTTATTTAATAAAATTTGGGATCACTCATGTAATTTGCTATAATAAAAAATTCAGAATATAGAAATTCGTTATAGTGAGGTTCAATTGTATAAGAAAATTTATTATATATTATTATAGGATTATTATAAAAAAAAAATGTAACACAGCAAATAATCAATATATTTTACAAAATTGATCTAATGATTTACATATGTTACGTTATAAATGTTAAACAAATTTTACATAACTTATTTAATATATCTGATATAGCAGGCATTTCTGATATTTCTAACATATCAAACATAACTGACATAGTTGATATATTTAATATAACTGATATATTAAATATAGCAAACATATTAGATATATTTAATTTATTAGACATATATAACATATTAGTTTTATCTTTATGTATAAATGATTTGTAAATGTTGAAGTTGGATTTCCTCTGACCCAGTACTAATATACTTATTAATCTTTTCATCATCCTTTGATTTTTATTATTCTTATATATATCTTATCTTTAATAAACTTATTTTACATACATAATATTAAAAATATAATGATTAATTACTACATAATTTATGATTTATAAAATATTATTTTACTTGAAAACATATACAGTATATTATTACAATTATATTAATGGATCCAGTAAGCTATCAATAAAAAATAATTATTTGAATATCTTATTTACTATTATAATTCATAAGAATCACACATTAATAATACTTAATTTCTTAATATATAAATTTAGAAAACACAACATAACCAACTTTTAGTATTATAGATTTTGTAATATGATAACAGAAATTCAATTCTAAAAAAATAAAATTTTTAAGATTGCTAATATTTTTGTCTTCATTAAATCTGTATATTATATATATTATAAGTTATAGTATTCTTATATATATTCCCTTTTTTTATCCAAAAATGATATACTTCTATTATAATTAATCTTTTCTATATATTTTTAAGATTATTAAATAATATAACTAAGATTGCTAAAGAAATTAAAGGATTTTTTTATTTGCCAAAATGTCAAAATGCTGAAACTTTGCTGAAACTAAGGTTGCTTGTCTAAACTCATTTTGGATTTGGCAAAACAGTAAAACCTTTAGTTTTGCTAAATTTTTACTAAGTGTTTGATATAGTTTCGCC